CTTCTCTGGTTTGTGGGCGTTCTGTTTTTCTACCGCCTTTGCTTTTGCTTAACTCACCTCCCAGTTTCTGGGTATAAATAAGTCCATTCACTCAACCTAACAATGCAAGAAAAGAAATACTGGGAATCTTACCAGTAAAATTAATCTTAATCCTTCTAATTACTTTCCAGTACAAAACTGTTGAGAGTCGAATTCTGAAAGAATTCACCTTCACTCACTTTAAATTAATGGTTGATGTTTCATTAACGTTAGCAGGAATAACTCTGAGATTACCTTGAAACCTTCTGGAATGTATTTCTAGCAGCTTTATTGCAGCCCGATTATATGTAGTTTGCTCCAGAGGAAGTTCGTGGAACTATATCAGAGTTAAGTAAAAGCTATTCTACTTTGCTTGGTTGTGAACTAAGCTGTGGAAGCTGTGCAGTATCTTTCTTTACTAGATAGGGTTAAACCTTTACAAGTTACACATTTCTTTTCTGTCAGATAGCAATTTTAAAATTGTTTCTCTGTTCCCTGAGAATGGAGTTAGCTATAATGTCACCCTTGCTGACTTTTAACTGGGACTGAACTAATACATTGTACTGCTTCAGATCCTCTCTTTAAGGGATCTTTGGATAAGTTATTTCTGACTGAAACAAACAAACAAAACCAAGCCTACCAAGCCCAGCAACAACCCAGAGTTCAGACTTCAGCTATCTTTACATTAATTAATGTCTTGTTATTTATGGTGCCCTGGTTGCAGAAGTTGTACAGTGGCAAGAAAGGTGCATAGTACTTAAAACTGTTGAGAAAACGGAAATAATCAAAATACCAAAAAACACTTTTTAACGAAGGAGTACTACTGGGTTTCCTCTAATGTAGGGTTCCTCAACCTCAGCAACTTTAAGATGGATGGACTTCTTAAAGTGGCTGGCTGGGGAATTCTGGGAGTTGAAGTCCACCCATCCTAAAGTTGTAGGGTTGAGGAACCCTGCTCTAATGGATGGGAAAAAATATTAAAAATACAATTCTGAGTTTTGCATAAATGCTGATCATAAAATATTCCTTCACTTTTAAAACTAATATCCCCGTCTTGTCAAAATTAAGCATGCAGTTGTTTATTTTATTGACATAAGATTGAAGAAGATATTTAGGTTCTTGAAAGAAAGCAAAGGAATATTTGTCTTACTATCCTATTTTTATTATGCTAACTGTGCAAAAGTTCCAGGAATCTCACAAGTTTTATGGATACAATTTTCATTTCTTCAAAAGATGTCTTCCATGAAGCATTGGAATAATACATACAAAATAGATTCTAATCTTTGGCTGTCTCAGATGTGAATATGTGTATGTGTTTTTAAAATGGGACTATGGCTGACATTCCAAGGAGATTTATTGACAATCAGATTGAAATCCGTAAATCTGCCTTGTTTTTAGGTAAAGCTTGGCAATAGTACAATACAATTCATGTACAGAAAATATAACTATATTTGTACATTAAACATCTACCATGTGATTGAAAGTAGGAGTCAGTGTATTAGCTGTAACCCTCCCCCTATCCCATCTCCCTCAATCAATTGAATGGAAACTTCAGCATGGAATCTATTCAACTGGTATAGTTTCCCTGAACGAACTAGAAGCCATGGACTTCCCCACTACAGAGATTTTTCCTCCAGCTTGTGGAAGGCATGTCTCTGTGTGTGTGTGTGTGTGTATGTGTAGATATAGATATATAGATATAGATATAAATTCCCTCCCACCCCTATGGGTGCTATGTGTCTTCCTCAATCTTAGGTCCCCACAAGAGGCCTGGGAGTTTGCAGGTTCTGTGCAGTATCTTAGCTGTTCCTAGCACTGCACTCTTCTGGACAGAGAGCTCTGATGTTGTCCCTGGGATCTGTAGGAGCCACTCTCCCAGCTTAGTAGTAGCCCTGGGTGTTCCTACCACCACTGAGACCCTTACTTTCCATATCCTCTCTAGTTCCTCCTTCAGGCCCTGGTACTTCTCCAGCTTCTTATATTCCTTCTTGATGTTGCTGTCACTTGGCACCGCTACACCTATCACCACCACTGTCTTCTGGTCCTTGTCTACTACCACGATGTCTGGTTGATTGGCCAATACCTGCCTGTTCATCTGGAACTGGAAGTCCCACAGGATCTTAGCCCTGTTATTCTCCATGACCTTCTATGGAATCTCCCAGCTGGACTTGGGAGGATCTAGTCCATACACTGTACAGATGTTCCTGTACAGAATGCCAGCTACTTGGTCATGCTGTTCAGTGTATGCTGTTCATGACTACATTTTACACCCTGCCACTATGTGTTGGATTATCTCTGAGGCCTCTCTGCACAGTCTGCACTTTGTCTAGTGTGGTAAACCACTGCTTCCATGAATCTGGTACTTAGTGCCTGTTCCTATGTTGCTATGATCAGTGGCTCAGTACTGTCTTTTAGTCCAGCCCCTTCCAGGCACTGGTAGGATTTTCCAATGTCAACCACCTCATCTACAGTATCTGTGGATGGTACATCCCATGCAGGGGCTTGTCTTGCCATGGCACTTCCTCCACTTGAACTTCCTCCCATGTCTGCTGCTGCCTCAGGCATTCTCTCAGCAGCTTATCCTTGAGCACCATCTTACTGAAGTACTCCTGGATACTCTGGGTTTCGTCGAGGACAGTGTCTTTGACACTTACCAGATGCAGCCTGCCCTATTTCTGGCTGGTGTACAGTCTCTGAGTGTTGGACCTGGGGTGGAAATCTCTGAACATTGTGAGGAGCTTCTGGGTCTTCACATCGGTAGCCTCCATGTCCTCCTTTGGCCAGCTCATTATACCAACAGGGTATCTGATGACTGGCAGGGCATACATGTTGATGGATTCCCACTAAGCTGCATCTTCAGGACCTGTCTTATCCTTTGATGGTACTTGGATGTTGCTGTGTTCCTTGCCCCTTCATTGTGATTCCCATATGACTGTGGGATACCAAGATGGTAGCTGGTCTGTGTGGCCTGCTGGTAGTTCCATCCCATCAGTCTTAACTACCTTCCCTCTCTTTACTACCATCTAACCACACTTCTCCAGCCAGTCCAACTGACATCCCAATATCTTCACTGTAGATCTGTGTCAGGTGGGTCAGTGAATTGATGTCATCCATGTAGAGGAGGTGGCTGATGTAGTTCCACTCTCAAACTTGTATCCATATCCAATCCTTGTGATTATCATAATCATCATCATCTTCATCATCTATATCTAATCTATATTTATATCTAATCTGTGTGTGTGTGTGTACACACACACACACATACACATTCCCTTAAGTAAGTTTGAACTGCAGAAGCTTCTATATGTCTGTGACTGTGATTGGCTCTTTTTGTAAAAAAATTGGAATAGGCACTGTCATTTATGCATATCCCATCTCCTGTTAGTACAGGAAAGATTATATAGAACATATCCCCTATAGCTTGTGTTTTTGTATATAATTTCAATAGTTGTATTCAGAAATTGTTGGCTGTTGTCATATACGTATCTCAAATCATTAACAGTTTAATAGCACTTTTGCATATGAAATTAAGGGATTATTGTTTTGCATCACTGAAATTATACTTCTGAGCACCTCTTGCTAAACAGGTTTTACCTTAAGCCAAACATAAATCATATTTAGTCTTGATGATAGTATGTGCTACAAACAAGATACGTTGAAAGAAGAGGTAGTAAAACCTTGAGTGCTTTTTGTTTAAAAGCTCATATAATCCTAAAATATTTGGTTGATGATTATGTGCCATCAAGTTGTTTTCAATTCCTAGCAACCACATAGATTTTCTCCACTGACGATTTATCCCTAACCTGTTCTTTCAAGTCTCTGAATGATGCACTCATTGTCACTGTAACTGCGTCCGTCCATCTTGCTGCTGATCATCCTCTTCTCTTTCCTTACACCTTTCCCAGCATTAGAGCCTTTTCCAGAGACCTGGGTCTTCACATAATGTGTCCAAAATAGGATAATTTGAGCTTGGTCATTTGTGCCTCAAGTGAGAACTCTAGGTCGATTTGTTTGATGATCCATTGGTTTGTTTTCTTGGCTGTCCAAAGTATTCTCAGGAGTCTTCTCCAACACCAAAGTTCAAAGGTCTCAATACTCTTCCTATTCTGCTTCTTTAAAGTCCAAGTTTCACTGATCCATTGGTTTGTTTTCTTGGCTGTCCAAAGTATTCTCAGGAGTCTTCTCCAACACCAAAGTTCAAAGGTCTCAATACTCTTCCTATTCTGCTTCTTTAAAGTCCAAGTTTCACTTCTAAATATAGACTCCTGTAAATATTCATTCCTAAAATATAGTGATGTTTTATTTCCAGTTGTTTCAGTGTGATATCTATGGAGATATCTGACAGCATCACTTTCATTCAAGAATATGATGCTACTCTGACTAGTGAAGATGAATGCATAAACACCCCCTTACTTACACTCACACACACACTTACTTGGATCTTGGGATCATGTCTCAGGATCCCTTCAAGTCATTCTGTGAATATTGATGTTCTGCAGAATGTATCTTCTCTAATATTGCTAAATCCCTCATCTTTACTCATGCTGATTGAAGCTGCTGGGAATTATCATTCAGCTGTGTTGGAGGGGAGGGGCAATTTCCACTTCACTTGTGTACTGGGCTTTAGCTTAGATCAATGTGATCTGGTACACATTGGCGTGATACCTTATTTCCCCTGTATGAAGAAAACAGTTCTTGTTCATAGAACAGGATGTCTGATCACCCTGCTGCTCTGCTTCCTTTCCAGTATGATTCTTTGAGTTGGAGGATGTGTAGGAAGGGTGCAAAATACAGCACAGTGGGCTGAAGATAGGGAAGTTGATATAAATTATCTCCTCACTAATATAAATGGGGAAATGAGGTAGATTCTGGGTTATTGAATGAAAGAATTGTAGAATGTTCGTGATCTGATATGCATTTGCTTTTTGTGCATCTTTTACATCTCTATACATCTGAGATCATATATTTCTTTTGTGTTTTAGGAGAGCCAGAATTTAAATATGTTGGCAACATGCATGGAAATGAAGCTGTTGGAAGGGAACTTCTTATCTTCTTGGCTCAGTACCTGTGCAATGAATATCAGAAGGGAAATGAAACTATCATTAATTTGATCCATAGTACCCGTATCCACATCATGCCATCTCTCAATCCAGATGGCTTTGAGAAGGCAGCATCGCAGGTATGTGAGTCATACATTTGCATTTGTATTATCTGTTTTTAAAAATAGTGAAATATGATTGCATTTTAATGATATAAAGAAGCCTTTGGGGCAGGGCTGGAGAATGGTGTCCTGATCTGAATTTGTTGAGCATGAATACCAAAATATGAGAAGAAGAATAACCTTCACTAAGAAATCTACCTTTTTCACTCCACCTGGGTAACAGTACCATATGCACTTAGAATGTTCTTTGACTGAAATTTGCATATACAATACTATCTTTGGTGACTTCTGCAGTGCAAATGCAATGTATATCAGAGACAGGAATCATAGTCTTCCAGAAGTTGTTAGAATCTAAATTCCTATCATCCATGTCTGTTGGTCATGCTAGCTGGGACTGATAGTAGTTTAAATCCAACATTTGGATACTATATATTTCTCACCTAATATATCTAGTGAGCCTACATTGTAACTGATTTGTAATCCATATTAAGCATTTGATCTACTCCCTCCCACCGTGACACTTGGCATTCTATATGTAATGTAGCCAATGGAATGCTTGCATACTAGCCAGCACTCTTTCTGTTCCAAATACATTATGCTAGTAATCCACATTAATCTAAAATCACTTTAGATTACTGGGTCTGAGTCTTTATTTTACATGCTAAAAAATTTACCAAGTTGATTAGGAATGTTCAGTGTCAGAGCTCCCCCATGTGGCTATAAATAAGTTTATACATTTAAATAGCAGTTGGTCCCAAAGAACTATTTTTGTATTTGTTCTCAAGGTTTATTTGAGAACTCAATATTGTTACACTTTGATCAACCAGTAGTTGATTGTTCTATGTGCCTTGTGCCGAATCATTACTTCTGAATTTCAGGCACTCTAATTTTATAGGCAGAGGCAGTTTGGTGTGGTCCCTAGAAACTGGGAGTCCGTAAGTTCTACTTCTGCCTTAGGCATGAAGCCAGCTGGGTGACCTTGGGCCAGTCACTCTCTCTCAGCCCTAGGAAGAAAGTAATGGCAAACAACTTCTCAAATCTTGCTAAGAAAACTGCAGGGACTAGCCTAGGCAGTTGCCATTAAGTCATCACTGACTTGAAAGCAACAAAATCATCATCATCATCATCATCATCATCATCATCATCATCATCATCATCATCATC